GCGACTTAGATTACATGCTGAGTCACTACCACTCTGCCTTGGTTCGTATTGGTGTCCGTACAACAAATTAGTTTTTACTTTAACGTTAATTCTCATATTATTTATACACATTAAAGTTCTTAGAAAGAAAAACTCAGCTTATATAAAGAAATCCTTCTCTTTATTGATGTTTAGAAAATCCTCTCAAAACTAAACACAAAGCTCTTATTCTCTCTTATGTTTTCACCACAACTCGGTGATCACATATATAGGAGTAGATTTCCTTTTCTAATCCTATGACTAATAGGAAAACATATTTTCTTATTCCTAAAGAGCTAGAAAATTTCCTATTTGTCTATCATATCATTAACCGTCATGTTAATGATGTTTTGGGCTTCAAGCATCGAAGCTTTACCCAACAATCACCCCCTTAAGCTTCGAGTCCTTCTTCGATAGGTCTTGAACGTCGATCAAAGTCCTCATCGTCCTGAACTTGATTCTTGCTAGAGCTTTTGTTAGAATGTATGCACACTATTCTTCTCCGGGAACAAACTCCACATCGATTTGTTCATTATCAACACATTCTCGGATGAAATGATATCTCTTGTGGATATGTTTGCTTCTTCCGTGGAAAACAGGATTCCTTGTGAGTTCTATAGCCGACTTGTTGTCAATGTGAATGGTCGTCTTCTCACACCCTCTTCCCATCACTTCACTCAACAAGTCTTGTAGCCATATCGCTTGTTTCGCAGCTTCCGTTGCCGCCATGAATTCTGCTTTACAGCTCGATAGTGCGACTGTCTGCTGTTTTTTGCGAACACCATGTGATTGGTGTTTCTCCAAAGTAAAACATGTGACCAGCTGTGCTCTTTCCGTCATCAGGATCCATGTTATAGCTGTTGTCGCTGTAACCAACAATCCTCCTCGATCCTCCTTGCTTAAACACTAACCCATATGACAGTTTTCCCTGCAAATGCCTTAAAATTTGCTTTAATGCAGCTTTATGTGAGTCTTTTGGATCCTGCATATATCTACTCACTACTCCAACAGAGTAAGCGAGATCAGGTATAGTGTGCAAGAGATATCGCAGGCAGCCAATTCTCCGGCGATACATGGTTGCATCGATTTCTGGCTCTTCTCCTCGAGCTTTAGACATCTTTAACCAAAACTCCACTAGAATGTGAGAAAGATTACAGTTGTCTAAACCCGCTTCCTTGAGAATTTTTTGAGCATACGCTTCTTGCTTCAACTCGATGCCATCTTTTCCTTGAAAGACTTCAATACCAAGATAGTACGTTAGTTTTCCAAGATCTGACATCTCGAACTTGGATGACATATTTCTCTTGAACTCTTGTATTACTCCCAATGAGTTTCCTGTGACAAACAGATCGTCGACGTACATGGCCACAAGAAGAAACTCTGTTTTTTCTTCCTTGCGATACACTGCACTTTCCTTTGAACACTTTCTGAACTTCAACTCTCTCAAAATTTGATCTACCTTGGTGTTCCATGCTCGTGGAGCCTGTCTCAATCCGTATAAGGCTTTGGAAAGTTTAAAAACCTTATATTCTTCTCCCTCCTTTTCAAAGCCCTCCGGTTGAGATACATAAACGTCCTCGTTTAGCTCTCCGTGTAAAAATGCCATTTTGACAACGAGATGGTGAATCTCCCAGCCATGAGAAGCAGCAATGGCACCGAAAATGAAATAGAGAGTCCCACGAGCAATCGTATTGTTTCAATACAAGCTACAAGCACAAAAACTTCATCGAAATCGATCCTTGATTGCTGAACATATCCTTTTGCTACTAGTCGCGCCTTATACTTATTGATAGAGCTATCCGCGTTTTGTTTGATCTTAAACACCCATTTAAGACCAATGATTTTGACTCCCTTGGTTTTTCGACTAAGAACCACGTCTTGTTCTTATTTATCAAACTTATCTCTTCTTTGCAAGCGTTTGTCCATTCGACTAACTCTTTTGCTTCTTGGTAGTTTAATGGTTCGTCATTAATCGATAGAAGAAGCCTCTCGCACTATATGATCGCTTGAAGAGCATAGTCATCTTTTAGGTAGTAATCGTCAAGATAACTCGGAAGATGTGACTCTCGTGTAGACCTTCTCACCGGTTGTTGAATGGCTTGTGGAATGACTTGTGGTGACTGTTGTGGCATTGTTTGATGATTAGGCGGGCTTTGGGGTTCTTTTTCACCCAATCTTGCATCATGATCGTGGTGATTTTTACCAACAAATGCAGGTCCTTCACCTTCATCTATTGTTGTTCCCCATCGCATGTGAAACATTCCCGGGTTCCTGCTTGAACTCTCCTCTGTTTCGCTCCAGTTCCAGCCTTGTGTTTTGTCAAACACAACATCACGACTAACGACTATCTTCCGAGTGGTAGGATCATAGAGACGATATGCCTAGGATCCTGGCTCGATCCCAAGGTGAAGCAAGGGCTTCGTTCTGTCGTCAAGCTTCTTTAGATTCGTTGCTTGAACCTTTGAGTATGCCAAACACCCAAACACTTTTAGGTGTTTAATGTTCGGTTTCTTCTCGCGTAAACACTCATATGGAGTCATACTCTCAAGTGCTCTTGTTGGTACTCTGTTTATCACGTGAGTGGCGTGTCGAACGGCTTCTCCCCAAAGATAATTCGGTACCTTCATAGCCTTGAGTATGCTTCTAGTCATCTCCATCAAGGTTCTGTTTCTTCTCTCCACGACTCCATTCTGTTGTGGTGTGTAAGGGGCTGCGAGGTGTCTCTTGATACCGTTTGTATCGCAGAACTCGTTGAATTCTCTAGAGGTGAATTCTCCTCCTCTATCAGTTCTTAGTGTCATGATCATCCTCCCAACGTCCTTCTCCACAAGATTTTTAAACACTCTGAATCTTTCATATGCTTCGGTTTTCTCTTTCAACAAGATAGTCCACATATACCTTGAGAAGTCGTCGATGATAACAAATACATATTTGTTATTCGCCATAGTGGATGGTGTTATAGGACCACACAGATCCGCATGTAGTAGTTCCAATGATTTGCAAGCTCGAAATAATGAGGCCTTCGGAAAAGATTGGCGAGTTTGTTTTCCAACTAAACATGACTCACACAATTTTTCTCTTCTCTGATTGTTGGTAAACCTTGTACCAGCTTTTGTTGGGACATTATAGTCATAGTTCTGAAACTAATATGACCCAAGCGAGCATGCCATCTCCACGCATCATCCTCCATAATCGTGTGCAAACAGATTGGCTTTCCTATTCTCAGCTTAATCTTGTAAAGTCTGTTGGGTGATCTTGTGACTTTTACCAGAAGTCTTCCCGTCGGATCGTGAACCGTAAGGTACTCTTGTCTCATCCTTACATCGCATCCAACTTCTGTAGCTTGTGCTAAGCTCAGAATGTTGCTCTTCAGTGATGGAATGTAATAGATATCGGAGACCAAAGTCTGTTCACTCGTTTTGCTTTGAAACAGGATTGCTCCCTTTCCTGCAATCTCAACACATGAACCATCTCCGAACTTCAACTTCCCTTTGATGTTCTCGTTAAGCTCCGAAAATATCTTCTATGACCTGTCATGTGGTTAGACGCTCCATTGTCGAGGTACCACATATCTTCGTCTTCGTAATTTTTCGGAATAACCTTTTCTTCGTTCAAGAACACAATCTCGTTTAGGTAAAGTGCTGCATCCGCTTCCTCTGTTTCTACTTTGTTTGCTTCGAGATCCTTATCTCTACGTGGTTTTTCAGGACACTTGCTGGCAAAGTGACCTGCTTTATCGCATATAAAACAGATCACCTTTGATCTATCCTTTTTCTCCTTCTCTCGGTTTTGATCTGTTTCCTTGTCTTGCGAGCTTTGTCCTCTGCCATGTCCTCTTGCTCCTCTTCCTCCTCTGCCGCGTCCTCTGCCACGAGATGAGGTGGATCTTCGTTCTTCAGAATTAGCGTACATCACTTTCTCTTGTGCTTCGCTGTGAATCTCTTCATCGAGAATCTTTTCTTCATAAGCTTTGAGTCTTCCAACTATGTCTTTAAAGCTTGTTTTATTTAAGTCCAAGACTTGTTCCAGCGAAGCTATCAGGTGAATAAACTTCTTTCTTGGTAAACTATTGAGAAATTTCTTAACAAGTTTTGATTCATCAATTATTTGACCAAGGGCAGCGAACTTCAAGGCTATTTCCGATAACTTCTCGGAGAAGCTATCAATTGTGTCTGTCTCCTTCATCATGATTCACTCAAATTCTGACATCAGAGTTTGTAGTCGCGCCTCCTTTACTCGATCAGCTCCACGGTGACGTGATTTGATTGCCTTCTAAATCGCCTTTGGAAACTCTTGTTCCCCTACTTGTAGAATGAGAGCCTCCAGTATTGATTGGAAGAGTAGTCCTATTGCAATATCGTTCTTCTCTGGAGATGTTGAACCTGGTTCTATAGTCTCCCAGACATTGTGGATACGCAACATAACCTTCATCCTCATTGTCCACACAGTATAATTTGTGGCTGTTAACATCGGGCATTGAATAGAGGATGGTATAATATCCTTCGAACGAGCCGCAGGAACGAGATCACCCATAGCTCGGGAACTCAGCTCCTCTTGTCGTTACGATCTTCTTTTTTTAAGCTCTTGGATCGATTATCCTTAAGCTCTGATACCAAATAAAGTTCTTAGAAAGAAAACTCAGCTTATATAAAGAAATCCTTCTCTTTATTGATGTTTAGAAAATCCTCTCAAAATTAAACACAAAACTCTCATTCTCTCTTATGTTTTCACCATAATTCGGTGACACATATATAGGAGTAGATTTCCTTTTCTAATCCTATGACTAATAGGAAAACACACTTTTCTATTCCTAAAGAGTTAGACAATTTCCTTTTTGTTTATCATATCATTAATGATCATGTTAATGATGTTTTGGGCTTCAAGCATCGAAGCTTTACCCAACAAACATAACAAAATACACGAGATAATTCGAGAATAGATTTTAAAAGAAAAATAGAAAAATCTATCTTCAAATCTATCTTCCCACCATCTGTACTTTATGCGAAGCGAGTGGTAAATAATCTGAGCTATTTTCGCGAGTTTATCCTCTAATTTCTTTCTTCTCAGGGCTTCTTCTTCTCTACCTCTCTCTCTCTCTCTCTCTCTCTCCCATTTCCTCTCCGATCCCGTGGAAGCACCCGAGCTCTACCTTTCAGATGTTCGCCTCTCTTTCTCTCTCTTCCTACTTCCTTCGTTTGCCTCTCCACTCAAAATCCCTCCGGCTACGACCGCGAAGAGGTACGGTGGCTCCGGGAAGAGCAGAGGTGGATTCGCGAGGAGCAAAGATGGATTCGGGAGGAACAGAGGTGGATACGCGAGCGTGAAGCTCTTTTATCGGAGATTTCGGATCTCCAGCTCCGGATCCAAACCCTAGAGTCTCGAAATTCGCAGCAGGGGACTTCAGTTCCCGATACGATCTCGAATATAGCTGCTTTGCTTCAGGTTCTGAAGGAGAAAAATCGGATTTCTGAGAGTGGATCGAGTGTAACGCCGATGGTATTGGAGAATACGAAAGAACCTGAGGAGGAGGAAGAGGAAGAGGAGGAAGTGAAGCGGGTGATTGTTGAGGAGAAAGTTAGGGTTTCGGAGCAGGTGAAGAAGAAGAGGAGGACATTGAAGGTGGGAAGCGAAGGCGAAGAGGTTCACGTGATGCAGGTCTGCTAGCAAAACAATAAAAAAAAAAAAAACATCTTCTGTCAGTTTTAGAACAAAGGCGAGTAAATCCGAAATTAATGTAGTTGCGTTGTGTTAATATTGGTTCTATCATCACTGGCAAAAACCTGAAATTGATCCAACTTTAGAAGATGAATGTTCAAAGATTCAAGGTGATGATTTGATAATGTTTCATGTTTTATCATCCTTTGGCAAGATTAGGCTAATGAATGATTTAAAGTCTATAATCGTCCTATCTTCGCGTAGGCATCTTCAGCTGTTTGTTGATTGAGACCAGTTATGAGATTTCTCGCAGTTGAAAGTGTTTGAAGAATGTTCTTTTTTGAATGATTTCTTTTGTGATTTTTATTTTCTCCACATGATAGGAAGCTCTGCTAAAATTAGGATTCTATTCGGGCGAAGAGGATATGGAGTTTTCTAGCTTCTCAAGTGGGACAGCAAGAGCTGTGAAGACTTGGCAAGTATGTTTTTTTTGTATATATCTCACCTTTGATTTCTCGTGTGCTGATGCGGTTTTTGTTGCTGAGGGATTTTGATTTTGCTTTTGAAAGGCATCACTTGGCGTCCGTGAGGATGGGATAATGACAGAAGATCTCCTTCAGAGGTTGTTCATGGATCAGATAACGGATGAACATATAGAGAAAGATAAGGATGAAGCAAAAACAATGAAGAGAGAGGTAAAACCTGAAACCACAACTTGGAGAAATGGTCTTCTTTAGTTGTTCTACCACACTTATCTAATGGATCCGACGAGTACATGCCAATCAAATATATTGTGCCAAATACTTTTAGCTATGTGGCAAGCCTTAGTAGTAGTTATGTGGTCTCTCTAGTATCTCTGCCCCGCTATGCAGTCTCCTTGTTACCGAATGTGAACTTCCATTGTATGCTTTGACCTCACAAGCTTGTCAATTGCTATATTTTGCCTTCTTAGCTCTGTCCTTTAGATGATAATTCTGTTTCTAGCGAGCTTTGTTCCGAATCTTCAAGTGTCTAATGAGTAAAAGAGGAAAATGGTACATTATCTTTGTTTGAGCTATTATATTCTTTCCGCTGAACTGTTCTTTTTCATCTCCCTTGATCAAGGAAACTGGTAATGGAGCGGTATCTACTTCAGTGAGACAAGTCTCTGAGAAGCAGAAGTCATTCATAAAAGATCAAAGTGAAAGAGAACCTGAGGTTTCTCAACATCGGGTTTTCCTTCTAAAACCGATGGGAAGATCCCTCCAGGCTCAATAAACCGGTAGACAGAAGTAATACTACAGATACGAAAACAAAGTGCATCACTTGTCGAGGAGAAGGTCGATTGATGTGCCTAGGTAAAATCCCTTATCGATCCTGCTGAAGTAAAAATCCGTAGGCTCTTTGAAAGTTAAAAAGGAAAACTAAAATCTGTTTTTAGCAGACAAAGAGTGCTAATGGAAATTAAAATCAGCAATTTTTGGTTCAATATAATCGACAGATTGATTTATTATATGAAAATGAGAACTTGATGTGGACTTTTGTGTATGTAGAGTGCGATGGAACCGGTGAACCAAACATTGAACCGCAGGTGAGTAAAATCAAAACGACCACGCTGTGATTATATGTATGTGTATATATGTATATATATCCCAAGTAGCCTAAAGCAAAAAACTTCTTCTTCAATGTTGTTGTATGGTTTTAGTTTATGGAGTGGGTTGGTGAAGATACGAAGTGTGCGTACTGTGAAGGTCTTGGTTATACTGTTTGCGACGTCTGTGACGGCAAAACAACTGCATAATCAAGGTTTTGTGTATTTTTTATACACAAACATTTGCTCAATTATGTACAAACTCTTCTGTATATCACTTTGAAAGTGTTTTATCCTGATTATATCAGTAACATATACCATCCACAAATCTTTTTAAAAAGTCGATACATCAAATAAATTATTCTCATTCAGCTCCACAAACATTTGAGAAACAAAGGACTCCAGTTACACCATTTTGGGACATTGCGATAATCAAAACTATTATAGTTGTTACTTTTTAGTGCCAATCAACAATGTCTCCGAACGTGGTCGAACCAACTCCTTCCCATACTTCACTATGTCCAACTTCCTCTGAGTCAACACCTTCCATGTCATTGTCCCAAAACCCTGAACCATTTGCATCTGTTGGGAAGTTTTATAAGTATTGAGTTTTCTTTCAAGTGGCAAAAAAAAGTGAAGTGTCACTCACAATGGTTATATGTGGGTCTCTGCTTCTTGCTACTGTCGTGGCTTCCTTTTCCTCTTTTCCTTTGCATTGGCTTTGATACTTTTGAGTTTCCTCCAAAGAGTATAACAGCCTTTCCCGTTCTAGTCACGCTCTCCATACCTAGCGATTTCAATGAACATATATGATTGTTAAACTATAAACAAGAAGAACTTAATGACAATATAAAAGTGACATATACCTTCAAAAGGATCTTTTCTTCTCTTTGATAACTTATCGTCCTTCACAATGATATCTTCATTGGTTTCATCAAAGCATGATGTCAAAAGATCAATTTCTTCAGCAGTGGTTTGATCCAACGGTTCAAGACTCGCCTTACCAGTAACATCACTACTCACTTCTTCACTTACCTGTGTCTCTCTTGGCTTGAACTGCTGAAGCATTGTCTTTTCAAGACCTTCATCGCCATTTTTCTCCATCCCAACAAACCCATGAGAGAGTTGAGTCTGATCTCTAGAGCTAACCAATGAGGTGAAAAGTCTTGGCCCTTCCTGTTTACGAAGCAAAAACCAAATTTTAGTTTAACAGTGACAGTTTGCAATTGCAAGTCCCAAAATAAAAATAAAAAACTATAACAACATACACTTAGAAAAGGTTAACATTAAACTTGTGCTTACTCAACCTACACTTAGAAAGCATAAAGACTTTTGGCTTCACAATAGATAGGATCACAAATTCTACCTCAATCTCTTGGCTTCACAATTGATTTGGTGTGTTGATATAAAAGTAAATAAGAAAAGTGAAAAACACTTTTCACATTAATTTCCACCTCGGATTCAAGCAATGACCTTAATTTTCTTCAAAATCAGCATCAAAATACTACAATGCTACTCATACCGACTCGTTTAAATTCACAGTTACCTCTGTGTTGTTGAGTTTAAACAGGACTGAGTTGTTCAGCTTGCTATCGAGAAACTCTGAAAATGAAGTGCACTTGTCTACTTTCTTCGACGGAGAGTCTTCCACACTATAAATATTGCACACAGATTTCTATTACTCAATCTAAGAACATAAGAAATAATTTAACGACTAGGACAAAAGTATTTGGCGTTTAGAAACAGACGAATTTTAGAAATCGAAAGAGAGATTTAAGATTTGCACGCTTACGGAGTCGAGATGCGATTCAGAAAAGAGGAGGGAATCGATCGCTGGCCTAGAACCCTAATTTTCGGAATTGGTTTCTTCATGTTCCCTCTCTTACTCGTTAACTCGCCAGAGGTTTTTTCAGGAATCAATTGCTGAAATGTCTCCACTTCCAGGAATCCTTCTAATTCCTTAGCCCAGTAGGCCTTTTTCCCGTCACGATTTAGGGGGTAATCATATGAGTCGTTTACAATTATGCACACTTAGTGGTTACAGTTGACACACTTTCATCAATAAGGGGCGCTTTCACCAAAACTTTGGACCAGGGGCGCTTTCACCAAAACTTTGAATCAAAGGGTGAAATGCCCTCAAATGTTGAAACAGAAGCGAGATATTTATGGTAGAAGGCACTTTTATCATTGGACAAATCTGAAATGCCCCTCTGTACATCCGAGAAATCCAGTATATCCTCGTTATAACATTTTTTTTTTTTTGATTTTTATTTTAAACGAAAATACGTGAAATAACGATGGAAGGTATCCGAAATCCTTTAAATTACGGATACTAACCAAATAATATTTATTGGGTTTTGGCCCAAACATAAATCAAAATCGGCCCAAACCTAAATCTAAATCTAACGCAAATCCAAACCAAAAACAACTTCCACTTTCCTGATTTTTCGATCAAACTGCCTCCTTTCCAACTTTTCATCTTCTCCAATTCAGAAACCACCAACATTTTCATCTTTTCCGAGAACTGATCAAAAATCTGATCCGATCAAATCCGAAAAACCCTCGACTCCAAATTATCGATTATGACGCCGCGGAGAGGAGTTAGGTTGAGAACGCCTTCACCGGAGGAAATTTCATCGTCGCTGCCGTCGAGTTCAAATCCGCCGGCGAAGAAGAAAACAGCGGCGGAGAAGCATCAGGCGGCACCGCAGAAGAAGAAGAAAAAGACCCTGAAGAAATCCAAATCAAAGGACGGAACTTCAACTGCTCCGCCTCCACCTCCGCTTCCGCCTCCGCCTGTGACTGAAAGAGAAGAAGAACCGGCGAAGAAGAAAAAAAAGAGGGAGAAGGGTCCGGAGGCACCGCGAAGAAAGGAGAAGAAGTCACGGAAGAAATCGGACAAATCAAAGTCTGCTCCGTCTCCACCTCCAGCGGCTCCGGTCACTGAACAAGCAGAAGAAAGTCAGCCTCCGGTGACTGAACAAGAAGAAGAAGCCTTTGTGGCTCCGAAGGTGCAACCGGCAACCGGCCCGCCTCCGATTTCAGAACCGGAAATCGGGTCATCGTCGCAACCACCACCACTGGTAAACGCTAAATCGTGTTCTTCAATGAGTAGTATAGTTGGGTCCAACTAGTCCGACTAGTGTGAGTAGTTCAACTAGAACGGTTAACTAGTCCGAATAGAATAACTAGATTGTAGTCATACTAATCGTATTAGTTGTACTAGTAATCATAATAGTTGGCCTAGTTTGTTAGTAGTTGGCCTAGTATTCGTACTAGTCGTACTAGTTTGACAGTAGTTGGCCTAGTAATCGTACTAGTCGTACTAGTTTGACAGTAGTTGGCCTAGTAATCGTATTAGTCGTACTAGTTTGACAGTAGTTGGCCTAGTAATCGTACTAGTCGTACTAGTTTGATAGTACTAGTCGTACTAGTTTGACAGCAGTATACTAAATCGGTTTCCTTATTTTTGCAGCATGATGATGATGATGTAGAAGAACCAATGCGGCCTCGCGGATATTTCTTCAATCCCACCGAATATCGAAAGGGATGTAAGCTAAGTACCAAATGCTTACAACACAAATTTAAGGAGGATGTATTTCCAATGTTGGAAGAGGATGAGAAGAGTTGGTTTCTGAACCATCCGCAGTTCAAGCACCTGTTTCACATGAAGACTTATGCAACGAGAAAGGTGATGGGGCTGTGGATGTTGCTTCTACGCACGGTTCAAACAGAGAAGGATAGACAGGCTTGGTTTGTAGTTAATGGAGTGCCCATTAGATACTCCATCAGAGAGCATGCTCTCCTCTCGGGACTGTACTGCCACGAGTACCCAGCCGATTACCCAAAGTTAGGTGGCATGAGGTTTGCTAACAACCATTTTAGAGACGAAAAACTTACAGCTGAAGTTGTGCTAAAAGCACTTCAGGGGATGAGGTATAATAACACTGGGAATCGGCTAAAGATGGCTGTCTTGTACTTCTTGGCGGTGGTGATAAGAGGGAGATCGAAGCATGGAGTAGCCATAGAGCCTTTCGTTCTGAGGATGGTTGATAATCTCGAGCTGTGTAAGACATTCCCGTGGGGACGGTTTACTTTCGAGGACAACATCAAAGAGATTTTTCATATGGGGAACCATTTCAAAGGATCCATCCCAGAGAAAGCGAGTTGGACGTTTTCTGGGTTCCTCAACCCTTTGGAAGTAAGTCGTATTTCATACTGTTTTAATTAGTCCGAATAGTACAACTCGTTCGACTGTTTTAATTTATGCAGATTTTTCGTATTAATAGTATGACTACGTCAACTAGTGCGAATAGTACAACTAGTCTAATTGGTCTAATTATATGTGCAGATTTTGGCGTTTGAATGTATTCCAACCCTGAAGACACAATTTCGGGTGAAAGCAACAAATGCAGAAGATGATTGTCCAAGAATGTGCAAATGGGAGTTCACGCAGACTGGCACAACTGGATATTCGCTGGGTTCAATAAATGAGCATCTTGGAGATACAAAGGTATTTTACTTTTTGTTATTGGGATCAATTGCAATCGTACTAGTTTGACAGTAGTTGGCCTAGTTTGACAGTCGTTGGCCTAGTATTCGTACTAGTCGTACTAGTTTGATAGTAGTTGGCCTAGTTTGACAGTAGTTGGCCTAGTATTCGTACTAGTCGTACTAGTTTGACAGTAGTTGGCCTAGTTTGACAGTAGTTGGTATAGTATTCGTACTAGTCGTACTAGTTTGACAGTAGTTGGCCTAGTTTGACAGTAGTTGGCCTAGTATTCGTACTAGTCGTACTAGTTTGACAGTAGTTGGTCTAATATTCGTACTAGTCGTACTAGTTTGATAGTAGTCGTACTTGTATTCGTACTAGTCATACTAGTTTCCCAGCAATTAATTAATCGGTTTAATTTTTTTTCCGTTATACTTCAGGACATTACTAGTATTTTGACTGCTGAGGGTGAGGAAGTAGATCTCATAGAGAGGGCCATGGAAGAGACACAGTTGCAGGACTTTGAACTGAAGGATGATTCAGATGTAGCTGACCCTATTGTTGATGGGTGGAACAAGTTTATAGTCCGCCAACAAGGGAAGATACTGTGGGAGGATGTCTTCATGGCTGATGTTCAATCCCGAGTTGTCGAAAAAGAAAATGTCCAAGAAAAAGATGTCCAAAACGAAGGTGCGGCAATAGGTGAGCCAGCTGAACAAGAACCTGCAGTTGTGATTGAGCCAATATCCGAGCAATTGAAAAGGATAATGAAATTAATGGAAGAAGGGTTCAAGGAAATTAATGACAAGATTCAAGGTTTGGATACAAGGTTGGTAGCTGTGGAGAGCTTCGTGGAAGAGCAAAGAAATCCTCCAGATTTTCAGTATGGTGGAAATGATGATTTCGGTAAGAAACAATTTTTGAGAATTTTTTTGTTTTGAATATTGAAGTTTATTTGACTCTTTTTTTTATGTCACAGAGAAAACGGCTGATGAGGAGATGACGGAGGCTGCTGCGGCTGTAGAGAGGGAGATGGCGGAGAGAGCCGCAGCTGAAGAGAAGGAGAAGGCGGAGAAGGAGGCTGCAGAGAAGGAGGCTGCAGAGTAGGAGGCTGCGGAGAAGGAGGCTGCGGAGAAGGAGGCTGCGGAGAAGGAGGCTGAGGCGGAGGCTGCTGTGGCTGTAGAGAGGGAGAAGACGGAGAGAGCCGCAGCTGAAGAGAAGGAGAAGGCGGAGAAGGAGGCTGCAGAGAAGGCTGAGGCGGAGGCTGTAGAGAGGGAGAAGGTTGAGGCTGCGGAGAAGGCTGAGGTTGAGGCTGCGGCAGCTTCGGAGATGATGGAGGCTGCGAAGACGGTGGAGACTGTGGCGGCTGAGGCTAGTGCAGCTGCGGAGAAGGCTGAGGTTGAGGCTGCGGCAGCTTCGGAGATGATGGAGGCTGCAAAGACGGTGGAGACTGTGGCGGCTGAGGCTAGTGCAACTGCGGAGATAGTGTTAGCGGCTGTGGATAAGGCTATGAAAAATGCTCTAGCTGGTAAGTGGAGATTTATCTTTCTTAATGAGCCAAACCATTGGAGATTTATTTTTGATATAATGAGTTTCATCGATTTTTGTTTATTTTTGTTAGGTGGAGACGATGCCGATACAGTCCAAACTCCTAGGAAGGTGAAAATCAAGAAACGACCTAGTCTTCAAGCTCAAGCAGCAAAGAAATTAATTAAGAGGAGTAAGACTCCCAAGCGAAAAAGGAAGGTTACTCGTTCACGTTTGGTGAAGGATTGTTATTAAGTAACTTAGGCCTTTGAACTTATGTTGTGTCATTATCTGCTATGTTAGAATTTGTCTTTGTGTTTTTCAGGATTTGGACATATATATTTTATGCAAGTCTTTTTTTTATGTGTTGAATTAAAAGGTATGACTAGCAGAACTAGACCAACTAGATCTGAATTTTAAAAACCTGTGGCAGCAAAAAAAACGTGTGCATGCAAAAAAAAACATGTTTAAAATGAAGTTAAAAATGGATAAAATATGAAGTCACGTGCGCCGTCAAAATAGGAAATGAATATCTTTGCAAGTTTGCGCCGTCAAAAAAAAAAAAATTGAACCCAGTTTTTGTATAACATAGTTGTACCCAGTTTTGAGTTGTACCCTAAAGACATAAAGTTATAAAATTTTGTAATCAGTAGTATCATACCTAAATTAAACATTTTTAGCTGTACTTGTAAAATTTAAACTAATATTCTAATGCTATAACTAGTATAAAAATACAAACTTTCATGGTTTTCATGTTTGTGTGGTTAAGATTTACAAAGTAACCTTAAAAGTATAAGGTAGATTGTGTAGAGAACTCATTTTCATGGATCAAACATTTTCGTGGATCAAATTT